TATAACTCGAAGTTCTAAGTCCAATGGTACCAAGATCGTCCAATTTTGACACCATTAACCCCTCCGTCTTGAGACACAAAGTTAGATTTGATTCAGACCCTCCATTTGGAWTATTCTTCACTATAACTTTGAACCTTGGGACCCATACGACCAGATCTTTCTCCTGTCTTCTAGAAACATCTTAAAATTTAAAATTTGACTAGCTAAAGAGCYTCCAAACAATCAAGCCAATCACCTAAACTTGGAATGTTCAATTTATGTAAATTGGTGAAATTTTCTACTTATTGTCTTGGTTAATTRAGAAGATCTCTCCCAAAGCTATCCTAAAAACCCCTTCCCTCAATCAATCTCCCCTCAAAAAGCCTTTAAACCTCAGTCACTAGTCTCCCTAGTCTCTCAATTTGAAAAAAAAAATGATTTTCTTTTCTTTCTAGTTGTTTTTTCCTCATACATAATTAAGTTAATTAATTTCCAACCTATCAGTGTCATGAGAATAGTTTTGCCATTTAATTTCTTCTAGTACAAAGGCATTAAGCATGTCATCCATTTGATACCAACATCCTCATTGATGTTCATTGATTTGATTAATATTTGCATAGTTTGATAATCAGAATTAGATCATTGACCATTTTAGCTCCATATCATCATTCTTGCATGTCTAATGTTATTAAATAGGGACATACTTCATGGAAGTCAGCATGTTAGAACCTTTTGATACCCCATGTGATGTGCTCTTTTATTTAGACTAAATTCCCACCACTATTGGATGAGGCACACTCCCTCCATCTCATCAATCTCTTAGATCAATTAGATACTTTTCTTATATAATTAGAATGTTCCTTTTGTTTTTAACGTCATTTAATTTCTTACCCCTTCTTTAGCATAARCAACTAATTTGCTTTTTAGRTTTCCATCTTTATGTTCATATCTTTTATATATACATATTTCCCGTTCTTGTTAGTTGGCCACATGGTAGCCCTATTAGATGCCATCACCATTCATCCCATACATTAATTATTTAGCAATAGGATAGTCTCACAAAGTCAGTCGATTCCAAATTCT